TCATTATCTAACCTGTTGTCAGTATCTTGTTAACTTCCATTAATTTGAGATTTGATAAACCAGGACTGTAACTATAAACTACCAAAAACTTATGTAATAATGTTAGTGTTGTTGGATGTTGTCCACTTGGTTCTGACTCACAATGGCCCTACGCACAGTGAACAAGCACTGCCCAATCCTCCGGCAACCTCACAGCCACTGCTACGTTTCAGCTCTCTCCTGCAGCCACTGTATCAGTCCATTTTGTTGACGATCTTCTTCTCTTAGGCTGCCCCTCTTCTTGACCAATCATGACGTCCTTCTCCAGGAACCTATCCCTTCAGATAACACTGCCAAAGTAAGTGAAATGAAATCTCACCATCTCTCCTTCTAAGGAACATTTTGGCTGCATATTTTCCAATACAGATGATTGCTCTTCCGGCAGTCATGTATATTGAATACACTTCATCAACACCTTTTTTTTGTTTTCTACACTCAGTCAAGCTTTTGCATGCATATGAGAATGAAAATACACAGACTGAGGTCAGAAGGGCCTCAGTTCTCAAAGTGATATTGAGTATCACAGTGCTTTTTAATACCCTAATGAGGTCTTCTGCAGTAGATTTACCTAATCAAATGCATCCTTTGATTTCTTGGCTGCTGATCCCATGGACAATGACTGTGATTCGAGTAGAATGAAGTCCATGACAACTTCAGTCTTATCTCTGTGTATCATGATGCTTCTTATTGGCCTTATTTTAAAGATTTTTTTCTCCCCCTTTATCCTGAGGTGTAAATCATATTGAAGGCTACAGTTTTTGAGCTTCTTCAATAAATGCTTCAAGTCCTCTTCCCTTATAGCAAGCAAAGTTGTGCCATCTGCCTATCAAAGGTTTTTAATGAGTCTCCCTCCAATCCTGATGCCATGTTCTTCTTCACATAGTCCAGCTGCTCAGCTTATTTGCTCAGTACACTGATTAGAAGAGTATAGTCACAGGATACAACCCTGACACACCTTTCCTTATTTTGAACCAAGCAGATCTCCTTGTTCTGTTCATATGACTGCCTGCCTCTAGGGAACGAGCTCTGGTGACACAGTCTGTAGGGAACTGCACTGCTTGCCCAAAGGTGGCACCACTCTGATGGCTCAAAAAGCCACCAGCTTCTTGACTGGAGAAAAATGGGCACTCTCTTCCCATAGTATTTACAGCCTCCCGTCAGACGGTGAGTAATGAGCTGGTTCTGACTTGGCAGTAAGGAGAGTGAGAAGTGAGACCAAGAGTGAGTGAGTGCTCATGAACACAATGTCCTGCAATTTCCCAAGATTTAAGATCTACACCTTTGCATTCTCCATAAGGAAAGATAAACCTGTTTAAAGCCTAGATTCATCCGACATTTAGCTGTGATATTCCTTATTCCTTGTCCTCTTCTGAATCTAGTATGAATTTCTAGCACTTCCATGTGAATGTAGAGCTGCAACTGCTTTTCATTCTCTTCAATAAAACTTTGTTCGTATGTAGTAGTAATCAACTCCAGAATAGCTACAAATAAAGCTCTCTTCCAGTTTTCTTCGCATAAATAAGTGAATCTCCAGCAGTAGATCTCTTTTTGGAACACTTCTATTCTTTCAATTTCTTAAGTCTCATTTCTCACAAATACCTTCAATAAATCTTAGAATTTTTTTTAAAATTAATCTTTTGATCACATCAGTTCTTAATCATATGCTACTTCTTGAAAAGAGTGAATGTCAATGGATTCTTTTGGTCAAAAAATTTTGTATTTCCATTTTTTTCTGACACTTGGAGTATCTTCCCCAGGAGAATCTTCCTGTTTCAATTCAAAACTTGAATTTTTTTTTCTTCAGTACTTTCAGCTTGAGAAATGCCTAGTAAGTTCTTCACTTTTGGTTTTTGTATAAGGAACTGGTATGGGAATAGCTGAGTCTCACTTCTAACCACTTCATAAAGGAGAACTGTCCCCATCAACAGTCTCTATAGACCCAATCCAATAGCTGCTCTGTCAGACATGCCATCCCCACATACTCCTGCATCTATTTCCACCAATCATTCAGGTCCAATAGTCATTATTGATTCACAGACTTTACTCACAGTTATGGTACCGAGAATTGGGTTTATTAGAGGAATAGGTTGAGGAGTCAGGCAGGCAAAGAATATCACCCAGCACAAGTCCAGGTTTAACCTAGCAGTCCTAAGCCAGATTAACAGCAAAACACAATTCCTCAGTTAGTGAAAAGTCTCAGTTTCAGTTCAGCAGCACAAATTCAAGAAGCCTCTGGTTTCCTTAATCATCCAGCAAGGTTTGCCTCAGAGCAGTTACAAGTCAGTTTTTCTTTAAATCATCCAGCAAGCAAAAACTGTGGCCTTTATCTCAGGGCTCCTCTGGTTACATTTTGCCACAGTCTCTTCACAGCAGTGCCACAGCCTCTCCTCTATCCAGCACTGTAACAAGGGTCTCCCTCTACAGTATAGAAAGCATTCTCTCTTTTAAATTAGTTTCACAACTGTTGATGATTTGCAAGACCATGCGTCAGCAGTTAAGGTAACTGGAGACCAGCTGGGACTAACATAATGGCTAAAAAAAGTCATCTTTTACAATAACACCACAATTTTCTATCTCCAAGTCTTTGTATATTTCATTATAACACTTTGTCTTCTTGAGCCACCCTCTGCAATCTGTTCAGTTCTTTTACTTCATCATTTCTTCTATTTGCTTTACCTGTAACACTAAGAGCAAACTAAGAGAGTGTGAGATTCATTTGGTCTTTCTTTTTTGTCTTGCCTTTATAATGAATGCCCTTTTACTTTCTTCATGTATGATGTGTCTGATGTCACCCACAGCTGAAATGGTCCTAGGTTATTAATTTTGAATATGTCAAATCTATTCTTGAGATGGTATCTAAATTCAGGTATGATATAGTTAAGTACTAAGAAGTACTATAGTGAAGTGTACTAAGCACAAGTAACTCTCATGGACTTGTTTTCATTTTCTTCAGCTTCACTTTGAACTTGCATGTGAACAATTAGATGATACAGTCTTCAGCTGACCCCTGGTTTTATGCTGACTGACTGAAATGGAGTTTCTCCATTGTCTCTTTTCATAGATGCAGTTACTTTGGTGTATTCCAGAAGATGAGTCATCATTTATGTTGCTGGAAAAGCTATGTTCAGTAATCTACTGTGCAATCTTTGACCTTGTTTCTATAATCAAGGCCATACTTTTGAACGACTTACACTCTTTTTTTGTTTCCAGCTTCTAGATTCCAATCACCAGTAATTATCAATACATCTTAGCTATACGTTTTATCAATTCCAGAATGCAGAAGTTGGCAAAACTTTTCCATTTTTTTCATCTTTAATATTAGTAAACCTGCTGTTGTCCACGTGGTTTCAACTCATGTTGACACTTCACTGGATTTCCAAGGCTAAAAATCTTTACAAGAGAAAGTCTTCTCCCTTTAGTCTTTTTCCTTTAGTGGAGCTCATGGTTTTAAACTGCTAACCTCTTTGTAAGCATCACAACACATACCATACTGCACCACCAACTGTTATTACATAGATTTATTAACAGTTGTATTAACTGGTCTCTCTTGTAGGCAATTTGGATATAATCCTATCACATGTAGTGTTATACGTCAGGATAGATCTTGAAATGTTCTTTCTGATGAGACATATGATGCCATTCCTCTTAAATTTGTCAGCCTCAGCATAGTTGACCATTTGATTGTTCAATTCAAAATTACTAATACCAGTCCTTTTCAGTTCACTAAAGCTAGGATATCAATTTTTATATGTTCTGTTTCAGCTTGATGACTTTCAATTTTCTTAGATTCACAATGTATACATTCCAAGTTCTGATTATTAATGGATATTCGCAGCTTGCTCTTTTCATTTTGAGTTGTGTGCAACTGAAGACAGAATGTTTTACTCCATCTGCGGCACTAAGGCTGACTCTACTTGGAGGAAGCAGTCCTTCTAATCCAGTTGTATTGTGACTGCCTTCCAGCACTGCGTCATCTTCCAGCATTATACTGGACAATGTGCAATAGCAATTTATATCATTTTCCATGGCCAATTATTTTTCAGAAGTAGCGCTCTAGGCCATTCTTCCTAGCATGTCTAGTCTGGAAGCACAGCTGAAATCTGTTCCCCGTGGGCAATCCTGTTAGTATCTGAAATACCAGTGTCACAGCTAGCTATCAGCTAAACACAAGCTAACAGTATGACAAATTAACAGTTGAGAGGTAGACTGAAGGGGGAGAAGGAGGAAGACATCCTTCTTCCACAGAGTTGTTGATTGCTGTTGAGTTGATCACAACTCATAGCGACCCTATGAACAGAAGGCCTGAAGCCTTTCTTTCTTTCTTTTTTTTTATTATTATTTTTAATGTGTGTACCGTCAAATCAGACCTGACTGGTACAGGAGGCGATTGTTCCTCCTTCAGCAGAGCATCTGGTGGATTTGAACCACGCACCTCTGGGATTGCAGTGCAGCTCCTTGCCACTAGGCCATCAGAGCTCACCCCTAAAGCCTTTCTATATCGTCATTTATCAAAGTCCATAGAGCTTCCGGAGGCATGTTGTTTAGGAAGTGGATGCCACTCAGGCACACCTTGGGTTAGCAGTGCAACGCCCTTTGCAATATGAAACCACAACTCCCAATTAATTAACAATGTCTTATATTTTACTTAGGGAGTTCTGGTGGCTTGTTATTGTGTTGTGTACCGTCAAGTGGAACCAAGCCATAGCTGACTCTCTGGATGGTTTTTAGAGGAAACAAACTACACTTTACAACTATCTCCCCAACATACCATAACTCCCATACTTGACTGCCACATTCTGCAGTGAAAAAATGTAATAGTCATTCCAATCTTTTCTATCCAAATAAACAAAGTCTTATTTCTCCAAGGCATGATGACTTAAAATATTTAAGTAACTGTTTTAAGTTCATTTTTGAGACATACATAAATCATTTCCTAAAAAGAAAAAAAAAGAAATACTTACAACACATCCTTGAAGTCTCCAAACACATACATATGCCTGAAGCTGTCAATAGCTATTACGGGGCAATCTGCTGGAGTTTTCTGTATGTGTAGAAGAGGATGTCTAAATTTGTCACAGTCAGCATGCAAAAAGTTTATTGTACCTTAAAAGGAAAGAGAATTTGGAAAAGTAGATCAGAATTTTCTTGACTGTATTCTTAGGACTGTAAGTTCATTTTATAAAACGGCTATATATATATGAAATATATATAATCTTTTATAAAACCCAAATGCTACATATTAACATTTAAAAGAGGGAGCGATTTCATTCTTAGAATAGAGAGGGAAATATGCTTTTACTTACAAATTACATGAACGCAACTTGAATTTGAATGCTTTGGGGAATTTCTGATTGCCCATAAATGGGTAATGATTTGCTTTACAAATTACTCAGGTTCTAATGAGCGAATTCCTGAAACTAACCTATGAGTTGTCCCCAAGGGATTACTATTCTATCAAATATTCCCTTCCAGTGTTTACGGGGTGATTTTTAATCCTGGACTGTGAAGGACATGGCTCTACACAATGCTTCCATTTATTTTGTTTTACTTTTTTCCCTAAATGCAGAGGGTAAGTTGGTGATCTCTCCAATTTCTTTTTTGATGTTTTGGAAAAATTGATAGACAACTACTGTACTTCCTTTTCTTTAGTAAGAAATGTTTATCAGACTGTGCATGCTTTCTCAACAATGTCTCTGTGAGTATCTATTGGAAAGGGGCAGGACAGCCATCAATTGACCGGAACAGAATTCCCAAAATAAATGTCTACCCTGGACTTGGTTTTCATGCTACTTCATTTACAAGTGAGACTGCACCCTCTCCTGCCCAAACAACTGTCCTCTTATGTATACAAGTTAAATCGGAGGGTGAAGAGAGTTAAAAGTAACTTGTTTTTAACCACCTAAACATATTTATAATTGGTTTTAGCCAATCCAAACATGAAAGGAAAGGAATGATGGAGGGAGGAAGGGAGGAAGGAGAAGAGATGGGATGAAAGACCTAAAATGGTAAAGAAAGAATGCAAATAAACACCTTAATCGGTCTACCTTTTTCACTTATTAATTGCCGGGCTACTTCATTCTGGAATATTTCTAAACTTTCTGTATCTTCTTTCATGTGGAAGAGTATAAGAAAAGGCAGTCCTTCTTCTGTCAATTCCTGTAGAGAGCAGTGTGCAATCACAATTATCAAGGCCTTGCTATTTAGATCTCTAGCTATTGTTTAGGCAAGAACAATTCTGCATCCAATTCACAAGACATGCAACAATTACAACCATTGGGGGGAAAGGGTTTAAATAAACATAAGTCTTAACAAAATAATGAACTCTGGCCCCCCAACTCCTAAAAAACCAGATTTGCAGGGATCTACAGGCCTTGGTCTGCTGCAGAAATGACTCTACCTTAAAGTAGTGATTTAGTCCGTTAGCTAGTACTAGCTGAAGTGTCTCAAGGGGCAGCTATGGAAGTCTTATGGAAGTTAAAATGATGAAATTTAGAGTTGACAGAAAACCAAAACTTTATGTTTGGAAAAATAGAATAAATGTTGCCAGTCTTTATTGATAGTACTGAAAACTGGAGTGCAGTAACAATAATAAAAAAATTCTTTAGTTATCAAACCAAAAAGAACAAAGAGAAAAAAACCCACAATATACAGCCAGTTTTCAATCAATATGTAAAGCTTTCAATATTATTAGCTAGTGACTGTTACTTTGTATGCTTGTATTTTATATACTTTTGTGTATGTATACACACAACTTGAAAGTACCTTGAAAATTATAAAGTGCAATTAAAATTTATTGTTATAACAACAGAGAAAACTGATATCTATCTAGACAGATATCATTTATTCTAATCATTTATTCTACCTGACAAAAAGGTCTAACACAGAAGAACAACCCCAGAAAAGGCTTCGTAACAAATTATTTTCATCAACCATCCTTTTAAGAGTCTCTTTATAACTCAGAAAGGACCTTGGCAAAGGTAAAAATTGTTTTTAGTCTTAAAAATAAAACAAACCAATAAAAAATCCTTCAGAATCTCAGGCTGGGACCAATATCTTTTACTGAATAAGTTTTCTTTTGGTCTTCTGGATCCTTTTTTTTTTTACATTTAAGACTATTTCATTTAAACATAGGAAAACCAAATACATTTACATAGGATGCATTTAATTAAGATATAATTTATCTACCATAAAATTCACCTTTTAATATGTACAATTCAGTGTGTTTAGTATAAGCACAAAACTGTGCAACTATCACTACTGTTTAATTCCAGAACAACTGTATCATTCAAAAAAGAGACCTCTGAAATGTGATGCAGACTAAAATACCTCTTCCAGGAAGTCTTTCCATATCATCTCTGCCAAAGGTGAAAAAGAACTCTGCTCTCTAAACTCTCAGATATAGTATCAGTGCCTTTATTTGATAGAGAAAATGGTCTTTATATTAAGTCATAGTAAATATTGGAATTTAAAAAAGTCCTTTGAAGATGCAGAATCTTCCCTTTTGCTCACAGTTTTGTATATAATAATGTACAATTAATTTATGATTAAATACAGGAACTAATGTTGCTAAATAAACATTACTTGGGAAAGAAGTAGTTACCTCTTAAAATGTGGAAAGAATATACTTGGCTGGAAGTCAGAGAACTGGCTTCTGGTTCTGCATTTATATAGAACAATACTCTGGGCAAGACACTGCACCTCTTTGTAACTTAAATTTTCTCATGTGATTAACATTCTTCAACAACTGCCAAAGCAGGTGCGTAATTGTGATAAGTTACCAAGTGGCTCTGATGGCCTAGTGGTAAGAACCTGTGCTGGAATGCTGAAGATACACAGTTCAGATCCACCTGCTGAAGGGTTAGCTATGGGTCAGTTCCGACTCTACGGTACACAACAATATGGCCTGGAACAGGCACACCTTAGTCTCCAGATTGACAGCACTGCTCTTCAGTACTTTCAAGAGGTCCCTGATAGCAGACTTTCCCAATGTAATTCATCTTTTGATTTCCTGGCTGCTGGTACCAAGAGTGCTGATTGTGGAGCCAAGCAAACTGAAGCTGTCAACAATCTCAATCTCTTCATCATCCATCCTAATGCTGTTAATTGGCCCAGTGGTGAGAGTCTTCATTTTCTTGATGTTGAACTTCAATCTATATTGGAGGCTACAATCCTTGACCCTCTGCAGCAAGAACTTCAGGTTCTCCTCAGTTTCAGCAAGCAGGATTGTGTCATCTGCATAACAGAGGTTGTTGATGAATCTTCCTCCAATCTTGATGACACACTCCTCCTCGTACAGCCCAGCCTCCCAAATGATCTGTTCTGCATATAGATTGAAAAGGTATCCCTGGAGTATACATGCAGTTTTTCCTTGCTCTGTTCTGACAACTGTCTCTTGGTCCAAGTATGGGTTTCACATAAGCACAATCAAATATTCTGGGATTCCCATTTTTCTCAGAGTTAGCTACAGTTTGTGGTGGTCTACACAGTCAAATGCCTTTGTATAGTTAATGAAACAGAGACGTTCCTCTGGTACTCTGCTTTCAGCCAATATCCATTTAACATCAGCTATATTATCCCTAGTACCATGGCCTCTTATAAACCCAGCCTGCACTTCTGGCAGTTCTCTGTTATGTGCTATTCCAGTCATTTTTGGATAATTTTCAGCAGAATCTTACTAGCATGTGATATTAATTATATTGTTTGATAATTTCCACATTGTTAGGTCACCTTTCTTTGGGATGGGAACAAATAAAGATCTCTTCCAGTCAGTTGGCCAAGTGGTTGTCCTCCAGATTTCTTGGCACAACCTGGTGAAAACATCCAGGGCATCATTTGTTTGTTGAAATATGTCAGTTTGTATGCTGTCAATTCATGGAGCCTTGGTTTTTGCTAATTCTTTCAGAGCAGCTTGAACGTCTTCCTTCATCACTATAGGCTCTTGCTCATATGTTCTTTCAAGAAATTCTTCTGTGTCAGCCAATTCCTTTTGGCTAAAGTTAAAGAAATCAAATCCACAGGAACCAAAATTTGACCTTGAGTCTATCCCACTAGAATCTCAGGAACAGGTTTGAGACCTTGAACACCAATGAGTGAAGACCAAATGAGCTGTGGGAGGACATCAAGAATATCATCCATGAAGAATGCAAAAGGTCATTACAAAGGCAGAGAAGGAAGACCAAGATGGATGTCAGATGAGACTTGCAAAAATGCACTCGAGTGCCGAAAAGCCAAAGCAAAGGGAAGAAATGAAGAGATCAAGGCGCGGAGGAGAATATTTCAAAGGGCAACACGGTAAGAAAAATTAAAGTATTATAGTGAAATGTGCAAAAAGCTGGAGTCAGAAAGTCAGAAGGGTCAAACTTGCTCAGCATTTCTTAAGCTGAAGGAATTAAAGAACAAATTCTAGCCTAGAGTTGTAATACTTAAGGTGCTTTGGGCAGAATATTAGATTATCCAGGAAGTATTAAAAGAAGATGGAAGGAGTATACAGAGCCATTGTACCAAGAGGAATCACTGTATGATACACTCAACTTATATACCTAGCCATTAAAAAGATAAGACGAAAAGAGTCTTATTGCACAGAGGTTGAAGTTTTCATGAACAATTTGAAGCACACATGGTAATTTTTTAATGAGCTTTGCAACTTTAAAAAAAAGTTTGAAAGCAACTGTCGGATCTAAATCTTTGTTCTAGTCCTGTACCTTAACTCCTAATGTATTGTGGACGCTGCTGACAACTAAAAGCCTGAAAAGACACCCATGTGAGTATCTATACACAGGCTGCTCTTGACTTAATGCAAAAGACCCATTCTAAACAACAATAAAGAATTAGAATCCTAAACAAAGGTAAATAGTTCCTTTGGAAAGCAACCTCAAAAAAGAATACAGAAGAAAAAAAAACACCTCTGTTAAACAGAAAAACACTGTATGGTCACTGAAATTGGACTCAAAATTCCAAGCGTTCATATAGAAATGAAAACACTATAATGCTACTTAGAAGTGCTAGAAAATTTGGGGAAGAACAAAGTAGAATCAAGGAATTTTGGAAAGAAAAGAAACTAAAAAACTTAGTGAAACATTTCTTTTTTCTTATCACGACAAAACAAGATGTTGTACAAGTTTCATCCAATTCATCTAATTCAGAATCCCAAAATATTTTAAAATATGGTATTGTTATATAAAAGTATAGCCAGTACAGGATAGACAGGCATGCATATAATATTTAAACTTTCTGGTTTAAACAGATTAATCACAACTCATGAGAAGCCATTTTTAGAACTCTACGTGACTTGAGAAATAGCTACCATCAATGATAAGTAGGTTGTCCAAGTGGCAGTACACTAACATGCTTGGTTGTTTGGATTCTCTTCTGGTGCAAACTAAGATTCCATCTACAATGTTTTGGATTTGCAATAGTCTGCCCAAGCAAACAGACCCAATCAATCTAATACACACTTTCATAATTTTGATCTGAAAAATTCTAAAAAAGCTTACAAGGATGAAATATCTATGGGCACATATTTCTGCTTCTGGAAAGATAGAATAGATGCATTTTCCCTGTTACATCTATGAAGTACAGGTAAAAATTCTAGACATTACAAAAAATAAGAGTGAAAAGTAGAGAGAAGGCAGATCAACTAAAGAGATCAGGACATGAGAAACAACATGGCACTTAATAGATTTTTCTTTCAGCCTTATTTATCTCAGGCTGAGTATCAGAGAAACCTCCAATCTGGAAGTACCTACTGGTGCTGGGTGGGGGGAATGCAGAAAGAGGGGGAAGTTTCAAGTGAGCATTCCAATTTTCCTACAATGACCAAAACTTACTAGAGCTAAAGGTTTCTCTCTTCAAGTTTTGAGGAAAGAAATACCAAAATTCAATAATAGAAGAGTATTTTTCTAAGCATTTCAAGAAATACTCAGGTAGTATTTTAAGGAGTTTTGAGAAACTGAAGTTTTGTTGCTATTTTGTAGCTGTGCGCTAAACAAAAGGCCATTCACCTTTCGTGATTTGAATCCCAAGGAGCAAGAAAGGAAGATAAGTCTCTTCCCATTAAGAAATCCAGTGAAGAGTTACTATGAGTCAGAACAGATCTAATGGTACAGAGTGGAAATTTTCCACAATATAGTACCTAGATAGTTCTTTCACAAGCTAAA